TCCATGCAACCTCAGATTCCCTTCATCTCTCATCTCGACTCCAGAAACCAGCCCACATCTTCTCCAGTCCATAAAAGGTTAGTTCCCCCTTCACTGCTGTCCACAGCATGCTGGACATCTGCCATATTGTGATTTATAAGAACTAGATATATTTAGTCATTCAGATGACCAAAATGTGTTTCTCGTATTTGGTCTTCATCCACAATTCCTGGCTCACAGCTCCCAAAACCCTTGGAATTTCTTGAGCCATAAGAGCAATGGGAACATCTTTTGTTGTAATCTTTGATCTCTTGTCCTCAGTTCCTGAAAACAGGAACTGTTTGAAAATGAAATGGGTGTCTTGTTCATAACAAGCCCTTTTCCACCACAACTGGGTTTATGTTACTGAAGGTGACTTTTGAAAGTGCCTAAGGATGAGGTTGGTTGCCAGGGGAACCAACCAGGAAGACAAGGTTGGAACTTTCCCTTGGTTTCCGGGGAGGGGAGGGGTGGGGCTAGAGGTTGAATCAATCACCAATGGCCAGTGAGTTAATCAATCATGCCTGTGTAATGAAACTTCCATAAAAACCCAAAAAGGAGGGGGTTCAGAGAGCTTCCAAGTCGTGGAACCAGAACATGCCGCCATGCTGGGCCCTAAGCTCCAGAAAGACAGAAGCTCCTTTGTTCCAGACCTCCTCCTAGGCATCTCTTCATCTGGCTGTTGATTTGTATTCTTTAATATCCTCTGTAGTAAATCAGTAATCTAGCCCGAAGCGGGTATTCCTGAGTTCTGTGAGCTGTTCTAGCAAATAATTCAAACGCAAGGAGGGGGTCGTGGGAACCTCTGATTTAAAGCCAGTTGTTCAGAAGTACTGGTAACAATCTGGACTTGTGATTGGCATTCTGAGTGGGAAAGGGTCATTGGAGCCTCCAGTTTGTAGCTGGTTGGTCAGAAGCACAGGAAACAACCTGGGCTTGAGATTGGTGTCTGAAGTGGGGGCGGTCTTGTGGGGCTGAGCCTGTTGTCTGTGGAATACAATACTATCTCCAGGTAGTGTCAGAACCCTGCTGGTGTCTGAGAATTGCTTGTTGGTGTGGGGAAGCCGCCACAAGCACACATATTGGAATTGGGTCCAGGAACCCAAAAGAACATCCCAGACCCGGGAATAGAAATTGCAATCCCTCCACCAACCCACCCCTCTTCCTTTAAAGTCTTCCTGGGCCAGCTGCCAGGAACCACACTCAACAGGTCTAAGCCAGAGATTTCAGCTTCCGCTAACTCTCTGGTGGGAGCTGCTGGGAGCCGCCTGTCTCCAGTCAGGGCCGGTTGCTACCCAGATTCCATTCACTCCCACAAATCACAGTGTAAACCCTGCATAGCTAAGCATGAATCCTCTGTACCTGCTTTCTCCCAGGACCCTGAAGTCAGGGACTCAGCTCTCATAATTTCCTTGAAGGAAAGGGTAGGAGGGCCGGTCCCGTGGCTTAGTGGTTAAGTGCGTGTGCTCCGCTGCTGCCAGTCCAGTTTCGGATCCCGGGCGCGCACCGATGCACCGCTTCTCCGGCCATGCTGAGGCCGCGTCCCGCATACAGCAACTAGAAGAATGTGCAACTATGACATACAACTATCTACTGGGGCTTTGGGGGAAAAATAAATAAATAAATAAAATTAAAAGAAAGGGTAGGAAGTGCATTCAGCCATCTATCTGACATTTATCTAGCACCTACTGTGTACCCTTGGCCTGGATACTGAGGAGTCACAGCCTAGTGTGGGCAGCTAATATTAGGGTTGTGAGATCTATGCAGAGGTAAGTGCCAGCTTCTATTTGATTTTTGGCCCCATTATTTCAGAGTGCTGTAAAGCTCCTCTGATCCCTAAGCCTTACATCAGAATCTTAGACATCTATTGTCCCTTCGGTGGAGGTGGGGTTGTGCAGCATGATCTAGAACCTAGCACAGTGCCTGGCTCAGGAATGCTGGTGGGGTGGGATCAAAGATGATGCCTTGCTTTCACCAGTTTAGATTATGTCACCCAGACCTCATCAATGCCAGGTAGGTGGAGCGGGGAGGAGGGAAGGCTGCAGGGGAGCATGGCATGAACCCTACTTCTAGAAGGTAGACTAGCAGAGAGACTCTTACCACAGCCATGCTGTCCCAGCTCTGAGCTCAAGTGGCAGACCTGCCCCTGATCTTTGCAGGCCTGGGGAAGGGCACAAATGAAGACTCACTTACCATATATCTAAAATTTTATAAAATATAAATCAAACTAATTGTGAATGTCCTAGCCTCCTATCATGATAAGCATACCTTCATAACGACCCAGAAGGCCAGGTTTGCATTTTTTTTTTTTTTTTTTTTAGTTTTTTTTTTTTTTTTTTTTTCCCCCCAAAGCCCCAGTAGATAGTTGTGTGTCATAGCTGCACAGCCTTCTAGTTGCTGTATGTGGGACGCGGCCTCAGCATGGCCGGAGAAGCAGCGCGTCGGTGCGCCCCCGGGATCCGAACCCGGGCCGCCAGCAGTGGAGCGCGCTCACTCAACCACTAAGCCACGGGGCCGGCCCCAGGTTTGCATTTTGACTTCTAGGACTCCTTGAAGTTCTGTGCTAGAATGTTCCTCAGTCCTGACCCCCAGCCTACAGCCTGCCTTCTCGTCCCCCTCACAGCCCCATCTCACACTGCAAAGGGCTTTGTGTATATGTATAGACATTCCAGCCTGCATATCCAAGCTCCGTCCACCCAGTTCTCTGACAAACAGCTGCCCCTTGGCCACCTCTTGGGCCTAGGAGTGTCACACCAACAGCACAGTCTGTCATTGGGACCCAGAGAAGAGGGGGTGGGAAGTGGGCTTGACAGGGAATTCTGGGGTCCTAGGCACCAGGAGGATGGTCTAGAAGGAGAAAGGGGACATCCCCTTGACCCTGCACCCCATGGGGAGGGTCATGGCTGGAGGGCCTGGGCAGAACCTTCTGAAGCAGGAGTCCAGGGCACTGACCCTCACCCTCTTGCAATGGGAATTTCCAGGCTATGACTCTGACAGCAAAGGCAGCTCCCTGCCACTTCCCTGGCTTCTGACACAGATTCCCTTATATCCCCACCCTGAGAAGTGAAGGAGAAACAAGCAGACCAGTACAAAAGAAAAAATACTGTTTATTCCACACGACTACATCAAGTGCTTCTCCCCCCTTCTCCCTCCACCACCCCTCACTCCAGCCCTCAGCAGGCTTTGCCCCATGTCTGGGGACAATCAGAACCTCAGTGTCAGAGCCTGGCCTATGACAGGAAGGGAACCTAGGCATAGGAAGGTGACTGGATTTCCAAGGACACAAAAATGTCAGGGTCTCTCATTCCAAATTCAAGTGTGCTCCTCAATCTATTTGGCCGAATTCTTTCCCTGGACCCCACCTGGATAAAATGCCGTGGTTAGTGATTCAGCAGGCCAGAGAAAGTTTTTTCTTTCATTTAAAACAAAAACAAACAAAACCACGCACAAACCGTTAAACCATTTCTGCCCTGTCTGCTGCCTTTCCACAGCAAAGGAACCTCTGAGCTCTGGCTTCAGTCCAGAAAGGTGCTTTCAAAACAAAATTTATATCAGCTCCCTTCAGAGCTTGATACTACTCAAAACAACCCACCTCAGAGCCACAGCTGCTTCTCAGGGGCCCTTTGCTGGGGGGGGGGGGGGGGGGGCGGGAGCAGAGATCACAGGGCCGTGAGCTCTGCTTTGGGCACGCTTCAGGGACACCCCACACACCCCTGCCTGGGGAATTTGGCCTGCAAAAATTCTGCCCCTGGTATCTTTCCTCTGAAAATCCTCCCAGCAGAGGAGAAAATGGTTTCGTTCTAACCCAGTCTTGGGAAGACAGATTTAGCAAGGGAGGAGCTGACAAAGCACAGCCAGGTCTCCTTTAGACCAGCAGTTCATGATCTTTTTCCCGCCATGACACAGGACACATGGTGTCCTCCTGCATATCCACTGCCGTGGACACACACTGAATTATATGCTGCTCCCAGGGCACCAGCTGTGACCCATTTGTCTCTCCTAAATAAGAAAGTATAACTGAATGCCGCTAGTGTTTGAAGGTGAAAACCTGCCTCTCTCTAACTTACTGAAGTGTAAGTCACCCAATCCTTTACAAACTCTGGTACTTTAACTATTCTCACTGAAAACTCGTTTACCACGCCCCTTCCAAGTGAGCTCATCGTTTCATTGAGACAGGTTGATAACCCTGAACTTGAGTGTGGAGCCTCCCCTTTGGAGCCCCCACCCACCCACCCACCATATTCTCTCCTGGAGGGCTGGGGCAGGCACGGTGCCCACCAGCTTCCTCACCACCCCTGCCACACTCTGGCGGGTTTGGGCGGTCCCAATGCAGGAGAGTGTGTATGTGTGTGGCAACTTGATGCACAACTGTCCTCTCACCTGCAGGGCTACCAAGAGGGTGGCCATGCTGGCATTGTAGGGCTTGAGAAGGACCAGCTGTAGGCAGGAAAGGAAGCACAGCATGCCAGGGGAAGCTAGGCTAGGAAGTGGCTCTGCACCAGTGACTGACAGAGGTGGTGACGTGCCCTCGCCTGGCAGTCACTTCCTCAGGATGTATCACGTGAGGTGCGGTGGAGGGCAGTGCCTGGAAACCTGGCTCTGTAAGGACAAGAGGAGTGAAGAGAGGGAGTGGCTGACCCGTGACTTGTGGCCCTTTAGGATTGGTCTACACAGCAAGTCTGGGCTCATCTAAGCAAACCTCTCAGTGCTCTCCTGACCTCCTGGAGTCACGTATTGAGTTCCAGGGGCTGTCCAGTCATAGGGAGGCTGGGAAACTCACTTAGCAGCTCGGATGAGATGCCAACCCCTGAGGTACCATAGCTACTCTCTCTAGAGGTATCCATCCTGCTCCAGGGGTATTCTTGACTCAGGGGAGCAGTGGGGGGATTGCTTACACAAACACATGGTCTCAGACTCTGGACAAAATAAGATTTCTCCTCCAGTATCCAAGGCTTAAAGTTACAAAGAAAATTAGAGTTAAGTCACCTTCCACAAGACACTTTCCTGGGCTGCCATCAGCTCTTTCTGGATGTTGGCCTTTCCTCCCAGGCCTTGCTGTCTGGTTTATAGTTTAATTTGCTCCTTCTGAGAAGGCCCCAGTACTCAGATGGGGTGAGTGAGAGGACCAGAGAAAGAGAGTCAGCATTCTTTTCATTTTTCTCTAGAGTGCCTGCTTAGTTGGGTAGTGGGATTTTCCAGGCAGCAAGTTCTTTTAACCACACTGTTTTGTGGGGAGATGGCCATGGACAGAGAGACTGGATTAAAATCTGGGAGGATGGCCTTCTTTACTAAGTTCCCCACCTGCTGCAGACCCAGGTCAACTCCGGGACAGCTCGAGTTCATTGTTGCTTCCTTCTGATAGGGATTACAAAAGAAAAGGTTCTGCTTTAGTGCAATTTTCCCCCCAAAGGAACCAGGGAGATGTGGGAGAGGAGATCACATATTCTGGCCCCAGGGCTGTGGGAACCTTCTTGACCTTGAGGTCAAGGCAGACACTGAGTCTGACCTTCTGAGCAGCACATCACACTTTTTAGAATTTGTGTCTCTTGGGTGCTTTCAGGGGACGATGTGCCTGCAGGCAATGGTGGGGGGTGAGGCTGTGGTTCCACTGGACGAGCTGCGATACCTGCCACACTCACACAGAGGAGCAAAGGAGAAGACAGGGTGGAGACAGAATGCCATCGAAAACAAGAGCTAAGGGCCAGCGGTCCTTAGGGGCCACTGCAGCCCTGCCGCAAAGATGGGGAGCTTCTGGTTCCCAACCAGAATTCACCCGTCAAAAACCACAGTAGCAAAGTGCTTCTTTAAGTGACACCACAAATCCCCTCCCTCGGTGTGACCAGCCCTGGGCCTGGAGCTCTCGGCAGGCCCTCGGCCCTCCCCGGGACGTGAGATACGCGGGAAAGAGGAGGGACGCAGCTGACGCACATGCACAAGTGGAGTCTCGTGACCCGGGACAAGCACAGCCACACAGGGCAGAATGACAGGTGCTGTGGCAGCACCACGTGCCAAGGGAAAAGGACAAAGTGCCGGAACACAGGGCTGGGGGCCGAGCCTCAGGGGATCTGAAAGACGTTCAGCTTGCTGGTGTTCTTGAGCGTCTGACGCCGATTGCAGAACCAGACCCGCACGACCTCCCGGTCGTAGTTGAGCTCCTTAGCAATCTCGGTGATCTCCTGGCCTGTGGGCAGCGGGTTCTTCTCGAAGTAGGCGTTGAGAGCCTCTATGGCCTGGGGGGTGAAGGAGGTGCGGCGTTTGCGTTTCTTGGAGGGCTCGCCTCCCACAAACTCCATCAGGTTCTGCTGGCCTTCCTGGTTCCGGAGTTCGGCTTCATTCAGCCACTTCTCCAGCACCGGCTTCAGCTTCTGGGCACTCTTGGGCGTGATGTCCAGCTTCTCAAACCTGCAGGTGACCGAAGCCCAGGAAGGGACAGTGAGAGTGGCTCACTCCCCACACCGGGGTGTGGGCACTCTCCCAAGGGGCTGCTCCTCTCAGGGCTGGTGAGACCATCAGTTTCCCTTACCACCCCCACAAAGACCCCCCTGACTTGGCCAAGCCCAGACTCCTGACTGTCCTGTATGCCAGGTCATAACAGGGGGACCATTCTCATGGCCTCAGTTCAGTAGGGCAATGATAATGGTACAACTGCTTTATGAATAACTATTCTAGAACTTTCACACCCAAATGAGTGAGGTCCTATGAGGAGTCATCTTGAGAGACCTCCAGAGATGGCAAATGGATGTGATGAGTGCTGTCTCCTCCAATTGCACTCTCATAGCAGAATCACTAAGTCAGACTACTCTTTCTGGCTGAGCCCAGATGTAACTGCACAATTCCCAACGCAGTCCTGTACTCTAATAGTCACTTTAGTCTAGTCTATGGAGTTGGCAGGCAGAGGAAACCTTTCAGCCATTCCTGAGCCACGCACTCATTCTTGTTTGAAACCCTCTGCTATCCTTCCTATGACAAGGGCCCCAGAACCAGTTTGTACACTGCACACAGAAAAATCAGCTACACTGCTTTAGAGTCATGCCTTATAAGAGGAGGAGATGGGAACATGATAGGGGTGATGGTGGCTTATAGTTGAGAGCCAAGCCAGAAGTGAAGTTCCCACTTTTGTGACTAATTTCATAAGCTGTACTCCTTCCCCTCTAGGATTCCTGAATGTATTAGAGACTTGGGTTCCCAAAAAAGACCATATATAAAAGCTCAGGATTGAAGGATAAACTTCAGAGGGCTCTCAGATGGACTGGATCAGTCTTTGGCTACTCCAGGTTTTCATGTCGACCCTTAAAACAGCTTTCCTTGTCTGGAATAAGGCAGGAGCAAGGGAGAATAAAGGGGCCAGATACCTGGGTGCCCATGAGCGCCTAGTGGCACCAGGCACCTGAGCAGGCCCTGATCCTGTCTTGGCAGCCTCACTTACCGGCAGATGGCTGACTGGCTGTAGGCTGGGCCTTCCGTCGCCGTCAGAGCCTGACCCACCTGGGTCTGTGTGAGGCCCAGGGATAGCCGCCGGATCTTAAAGTTCTTGGCAAACTCCCGGATCTCTTCTAAGTTGATCCCATCCTCATCCAGACTCGGGGTATGTGGCTCTAGGCCAGAGGAAGGGACCGGGGTGAGTGTGTAAACAGATAACCATCACTGCTTATCTAGCCCATTGGCCTGGCCTGGTGAAGTAGTGAGGGATGAGGATGTTTGGCAAAAGGTACATGCAACCTTAAGACCCTCATCACCCCTGTCCCCAAGTTTATTAAGGAGAACAGCATCTAAAGAAGTCAGGGCATCCAAATAAATGCCTCTCCCCTTCTCTACAACCTTCTCCAGGAGCCACTTACTGGACACCAATTGGCTGACCGTAGGGGTCTCTGAGCAGGTAATTGGGATGGGAGCAGAGGCAGATGGCTTGGCCGCTGGAGCTGGGCTGGCGATGACCACAGCAGGCTGGGGCACGGCTGGTGTGGGCTGGATGGGCTGCACCTATGAGGAGAGAGCCAACAAGCCCCTGCTGCCCACCTGCCCAGCTCAGGGCTCTGGAGTCCTACATGGACCAGAGGCAGGGCAAAAATGGGCATGAAATCCTCACTCACCCAGCACACTACTACCTGTGCCCCTTCAAAAGGCAAGACTAGAAGCTGCTTATTAGCACCTACCCAATGATAACAACCTCCAAAACAAGCATGACAGCATGTCCCACCAAGCTGAAGCCTTGTAGCCACCTGTGACACGGCAGGTCAGAGGCTCAGAAAGGTTCAGCACACTTGGTCAAGGCCCCAACAAGTGTCCACCCTTGAGATAACTGCTCTCAGATCTCTGCCCTCAAAGGAGAAAACTAAACCTGATTCTAGAGCCTACCAGGCCCCAAATGTCCATTAATAGGGAACTGGCAAATGACTTCTGAGACCTCCCTGCAATGAGATACCGTGCAGTCATTAAAAAGAATAAGGTATCTCTCTTAACTACTGACATGGAAAGAACTCTGCAACATAGTGCTGAGTGAGAAAAAAGAGTAAAGTGAAAAACAGTTTTTATGGAATAATTCCTTTAAAAAACACATATGACCTCCCAAGGAAAAAAAATCTTCAGGCATATAAAGCAAGCCGTCAACAGAAGTCATCTCTGGAGGTAGAATTATAAGGGATTTATACTTCTTTACATTACACATAATGTTGGAATTTTTATAAAAATCATGTATAATATTTATGATTATGAGAAACTATAAATATATAAAATTAGTATTTTTAATACGACTTTTTTTAAAGCTTCCTGAAAAGTGCAAATTTCTCTAGGATGGGTCTGTTCCCTGGATTCTACCTCCTGGTAGCTTTCGAGTGCATTTCCTCTTCATCCCCAGGGTCTTAGCCTTAGTTCAGAGCTCTTTGTCTCTTGCTAGGACTGTTTAAGCTGCCTTGTAACAGGTGAGAAGGAATCAAGTGTCACCACAGTCCAGTTCTGGGCTCCACTGGGATAACAGAGGGAATTTTTTTTTTGCAGGGAAAGATTTGTGTTGAGCTAACATGTGTTGCCAATCTTCCTCTTTTTCTTTTCCCCTCCCCAAAGCCCTGGTGCATGGTCATATATCCTAATTGCAAGTTGCAGTAGTTCTTCTATGTGAGCTGCTGCCACAGCGTGGCATCTGACAGACGGGTGGTGTGGTTCCATGACCAGGAAGCGACCCTGGGCTACCATGGCAGTGAGTGCCAAACTTTAACCACTAGGCCACGAGGGCTGCCTCGAAGGAATTTTTTTTTGTGAGGAAGATTAGCCCTGGACTAACATCCGCTGCCAATCCTCCTCTTTTTGCTGAGGACGATTGGCCCTGGGCTAACATCTGTTCCCGTCTTCCTCTACTTTATATGTGGGATGCCTGCCACAGCCTGGCTTGATAAGCGGTACGTAGGTCTGCGCCCAGGATCTGAACCTGCAAACCCGCGGCCACCGAAGCAGTGTGCATGAACTTAACTATTATGCCACTGGGCAGGCCCCTGAGGGAATTTTTTTTAATGCACATCTGATCAGCCATTTCCCTGCTAAAAACCCTTCCATGACTACTCACTAGCTAAAAACAGTGATAACAATAAAAGCACCCTTTTTCGAGTGCTTTCTGTGTACCAGTGTTAACAGCCTTCTGTGTAATATATTCTTTAACATTCATAACCTTCTGATGTTGGTATTCTTATAATCTCCGTTTTACAGATGAGGCTAAGAGGTTGTTCACGAAGCTGGGAAGCAGCGTACCACAGTTGAGAACCACGGGCCTCAACATCACCTGGGAACTTGTTAGAAATGGGAATTTTGGGGCCTCACTCCAGATCAACTGAATAAGAAACACGGGGCAGGGCCTGGGAATCTGTATTCCAACAAGCCCTCCAGGTGGTTCTGACGCACACTCAAGTTTGAGAACCCCTGCTCTGGCACACTATACTTCTTGCAATTCCGTAAAGGTAGAATGCCCTCTCATCCAACTCATCCGTTCAGATGAGGTCCATGTCCCTTCTCTACGAAGCCCTGCCAAACTCCCCAGTCTGCTGAGAGCTCGCTTCTCTGGGTTCCCAAGGCACCTCCTCATGCCCCTATCAAAGTCTTTGTCACGCTGACTTGTAATTGTCTCCAACTCTGGGCTACCTAAGCCTAGGAAGGGCATCTTATTCATCTCTATATCTTCAGCACCTGGGATATAGTAGGCACTCAAAAACTGCTCCTAGAATGGACAAATAAATGAATAATCAAAGCCATAGTGAGAGTGGAGGGGTGGAGGGAGGGAGAGGGAAGAGGGAGGGGTGCAGAACTAACCACCCAGGGGTTTTCTGGCCGCTTGTTCACCTTGGAGCTGATAGAGGCCCAGTTTCCTTTGACCAGCTCCTCCCTGGCCTCCTCCAAGTGGCACTGGCCTCTGAGGGCACATGCGCATGCTTTTGGTGTGTGTGGGCGGGGCGTTGGAGGGGTGCTGTCTCCCTGGGCAGAGCATGTGTGACACGTGGGCTTCTACCCTGGGACCTCTCCTCACTTTGGGGCTCCCAGGGCTTCAGAAAATAATCTTGTCCTGCTGGCGGTCTGGCGGGAGGTAGCCCATGCCAGACAACACTGTCTGCCCCCACCCCCACCCCAGCCCTTGTACCTCACTCTTAGCAGGGGTCTCAGGTGTGCTTGGCTTCCGGACAGCCACAGGCGGATGCAGGGGGCTGCTGGCCAGGGTTGCGATCACCTGGCCTTGGGCGTTCAACAGTAGCTGGGGGGTCACAGCCTGGACCTGCAGGCTCTGGGCTGGTGCTGGGGCTGCCACGCTAGCCGAGTTCACTACCCACGGAAGTGTTCCGATAACCTGGGAGGAAACAGGCAGGACCCCAAGCGTGAGGGCAGTGCCCAGCTGCACCCCCAGCCCAAATCCCCACACTGGCAGGGGAAGGGACTCAGACAAACCACTTAACCCCTCTGGGCCTCAGTTTCCTCATCAACAAAGTGAAGGATTCACACTCTAGGGGCGGCTTCCCTTATTCTACCTCCAGAGCCGTCGTGGACCAGGAACGGGTCTGCGTGTGGATTCAGACTGTGAGTCCCTACTCTGCCAAATTTTAGTTGTGTGGCTCAATTTCTCTGAATCTCAGCCTTCTCTTCTGTAAAATTCGAATAAAAATCTCCAACTAATAGATCTGTACTCAAAACAAAGTGAGACAATGTCTGAGAAAACACCTAGCACAGAGCCTGGCCACACGTGGGTGCTCCATAAATAAATGACAAGCCCCAGCTAGAGTCAGCGCCTCTAGGACGGGGTGGTGGCTATGCCCCTGGCTGGCCTCAGCATCAGCAGGGAGCTGTCACACAGGAGATATGAACAGCAGCCTGACACCCTGTCTGAGTTTCTATGACCCTCAGCCCACGTCCTGGCCCCTGGCCAGCTTCTCCACAGCCCCCATCCCTCTGCCCTTGCTGTGACCACTTGCCTGTCCCTGAGCGTTGGTGAGGATCTGACTGCTGATCCCCGGCATGCTGGGAATGGCATTGGCAATGACCGGAGTTGTAGTGAGGGAGCCCAGGATCTGGGTCTGTCCCCCGAGGGAAGCAGCACTGATCTGTGGGTGGAGGAAGAGCCTTGCTCAGAGGCCAAGGGGCGAGAAGGAGCCCAAGGCAGAGGGAAGAAGGCTGAGGGCACTGGGGTGGGGAGATGGGGATGCTAGGAAGATGTGAATGTGGGCTGCAGGCCCCTGTCCACCAGCTGAACTGTATCCAGGGCTAGGGGCTGCAGGGGGTCAGCAGGGCAGGGTGGGGCCACAGTCATGGAACAGTAACTCCGGCTAATCTTTCAGGCCAGGCCTGGAAGGGGAGAAGGGCCAGACTGGAGTGGCTGATGTGATTCTAGTCACATCTAACAGCTCCACTGTGAGCCAGGAGCCACACCAGACAGACATTGGTCTGGGGCTGGGAGCCTCTAGTTCCACCTTATTGATAGCTCACAAATTTGCAATCCCCAGACATCATCCCACCCTCCAAGGCTGATCCAGTGGTTCAGGTTCTGGTGAATTTTCCCAGCCCTCTTGGCAGAGGTCATCTGCTCTTGTCTGGGACGGATGGGCTGGCAGCTGCAAGGAGAAGGCCTCAGAGGGAGCCTCAGAGGAGAAGGCCTCTGCTGACATGTTGGAAAAGAGCTGTATGGAGGGGGCTGGTCCTCCACCTCCTTCCTCCCCTGTGGGAAGGGTCAGTTCCACCCGTGGCCCAAGATTCAGTCCGTCCCTGGTCAGCCCTGGGTGAGGGCAGCAGCTTACGATTCCTGGGCTAAATGCGAAGCCTGCAGGCTGGACGGTGATCTGTGAGGGGGTGTCCACTGGCTTGGGGGTGGGGGCAGTAGCGGTGGCAGCAGTGGGCTGCGGTAGAATGGCAGGCGTGGTCTGCAGCAGCGGCTGGGTCTGGAACAGCATCTGGGGCTGAGCTGGTGGCCGTGGCTGGGCGGGCGAGGAGGCCTGTACTGGTGGGGCAGCTTGAACGGGTGCCGGGAGAGCGGTGTTCAGCACGGCAGCTGCTATGGAGCAAGGCAGAGACAGAGGTGCTGAAACGCCTAGCCGCAGGCCCGGGCCGCTCCAATCCCAAGGGATCTGGCACCAGAAGGAGAGAGGGTTGGGGCAGTGGGGCGGGGGACAGGCAGCTGTGAGTCCCTTGATCCTTGCAGGGGCAGCACATGCCAACATCTCTCATCCCCCCTCCCTTGGGCCTGGAGATGTGTAGGTTCAAAACCAGAAGTTGAATCTTCTTGCAGTCCTTCTCAGGAGGCTGGTCATGGGGTCAATTCTGGCGTAGGGGGAGAGGGGCAGTCTCAGACTGTTGGCTGAAGTAAGAGAGGCCTGCTGGGCCAGCGTGATGTCATGGCCTAGAGTCCCGAGGTGGTGCAGCAGCTCTGTGGCTGGGTGCCTGGGACACCGGATCCAGACTCCAGGGCTGTCGCCCTAGGTGGGCCGCGGGTTCTGAGTCCAACATGGCAAGCGCGCATGTAGGGATGGTAGTGTAGGGTGGTGGGGGGCCTGGTGCAGTCCTGGGGAGAGTTGCCGTTACCTTGGAGACCGGCTAAAGGTGGCTTGAAAACTGCCCCCGTGGGAGAAGCAGCGGTCAGTCCTGGGAGGGCAGCCACGGTTGCTGTAGGAATTGTCCACACGGCCAGCCCCTGCTGACCAGCCACTTGACCTGCAATACTGATGGGGATAAGAAGAGGTTGAGTAACTGCCCCTGCTGGAACCACAACTCCTGTCAGAACTGTGGCTAAGTTTTCCTGAGTGAAGACCTGCAAAAGCAAACAAGATTTCAAGAAGAAAATAAAAGATCAACATTGACAGCGCAAACACCGGGTCTCTCGGACCCAGTTGAGCACACACAAAGCATTCTGAGGGCAATGGGGAAAAGGCCGCATGAGGGCAGGGAAGAGACAAGCCCTAAGCGGAGGCCCAATCCTGAGTGGGCACCTGGACCAGACTATCCTGCCTTCAGAGAAGCAGCCTAAATCGGGGACAGGACCGGCCCTGCTCAGAGGACAGGGAAGGGTGCACAGGCCTCGTCCACCAGCCTCTGCTGCCTCCCAAGCCTTCCCTGGGCCCTTGCCCACAGGACCAATGCTTTGTGGCCAGGAAGCAGGGGGCAGGGGCTGGTGGAGCCAAGTGGTCAAGGACCCACAGAGGCCTCTTGGAGGCTCTGATGGAGGATACCCTTGATGGATGCCCCGGAGATCTGTGCATGTAGCAAAAGGTCATGGGGAGCTCAGGAGGCCTGGAGGATCCTGGAGGTAGCTTGTCACTGCACTGGGGCTGCCCCCTGGCTCTAAATGAGGACTCTGTGAGCAATCCATTAACTCCTCCAGGCATCCCCTTCAGGGGCTGACAAGGGTATTCACTCATTTAGTCATTAGATGGCATGAGTTAATGTAATCTCTACAATCCTGGCTGGACCCAAGGAGATTACCTGGCAAATGCAGATCTACTTTTCTCACTGGGCCTGATCTGGGGCAGGGGAGAGGCCAGGGGTGCCTAGTAGAAGATTCCCTCCCTCAAGCCACAGCCCCTTCCCTGTTCTGCCTCGTGAAGTTCCCAGATCCCGTGGCCAGCCCATGTTGGCTGTCCCATGCCTTGCTCCTGCCCACTGCCCTCTGCTCAGCTCCCCGGGGTGGCCCTTACCTGGGGGGCAGCTTGTACAGCCAGTGATGTCAGGGTCTGCGAGGCCTGAGGCTGGCTTGGGGCTTGGCTGAAGGTGGCAACGGCAGGGGCAGGGCTCGGAGGGATCCCCGGGAGTGACTTCACTTTACACGGCATTGAGAGAAAGAAGGACAAGAAGTGAGCCTGGTGTGAGTGGAGAGGTCACTGGAGTAGAAAGTCTTGTCTGCAGCTTGAAGTGGCAACTCTCAGCCCCACACTGTATTTCTGCATAACCCAAGACCAATCGCTGGCCTTCCCTGGGCCAGAGGCAGCTTCCCAAATGCTACTGGTAGTGAGAATAGAAGGCTGGAGAACCCTGTGCCTGGAAGGCAGGCCACCCTCTTCCCACATCTAGAAGAAGAAAATGCAGGCCTATGTGCAGTGGCTCTGATTTCCTGGCTCTGCAGGACACTAGGACCTATCACATAATCAGTAGTAGAAGTGAACACGTGTCAGGGAGGGAAGGTGCTGGAATCGGTGGGCTTGATTGGCTCATCCAGTAACTGGATCATCGTTCAGGCTACTTTTTGTATGCAGGTGCCGGCTTGGGGAAGAGGCAAGGACTCCTGCAGCGCGCAGTCCTGGAAGTGACAGTCTCTGAAAATGGGACTTGTCTTTGCCACCCTCAGGACCACAGGGGCTCTCAGGCCAAGCGGCTTTTCTCTGCCGTTCCCTGAGGTCTGAAGTCTGCATGAGCAGCTTCTATGAGCTTCTAAAGGAACTTCCCGTGAACCGGAGCTTGTCACCCAGATTATAGCTTCCTCTCGCTATCCTGATTTAGTCAGGTATTGGGGACCCCCATGAGGAAACCTCTTCAAAGCTACACAACAATGAGGAGAGGGGTAATTATTTATTTAACATATGATGAGACATTAAACGAGTCTAGGTACTGGGTGACAGGTGTTAGACCAGATCAGTGGCTTCTTAATGCTGGCTGGCATACATTTCCAGGCCCTAATCTAGGGCTACCGAATCAGAACACCCGGGAGTGGAGGCCAGTAACCCCTCATCTCTTTCTTTTTTCTTTTAAGCTCCCTTGTGATACAGCACACAGCCAAAGTGGGAACCATTGAATTCCATAGCCTTCCAACCCTGCATTCCCAGCCCGAGTTTTAATCTGGACAGGCACCAACCTAACTCGGGACTATACTGTTCACGGTATATGACCAAAAAAATCCAGATTGTTTAAGGAATGAAAGAGACAAGCAACAGTAAAAACCTTATAAAATACTAAAAGAAAACAAAATGGCAGATTTATCTCCACTGTGGAGGGGAGACACATTTCTAACTATTGAAAAATATCAGAGAAGATAAGGATAATCCGAACCTATGAAAATTTAAAAAACATCTTGCTTGACAAAATGTGATGAAATATAAAAAGGAAAGTGAGAAAATGGGAATGTGATAAACATGAATGATAAAAGCTTACCATCTGAAGACATGAAATATTCATTTTATTAAGATATTTTTCCAAAGTGGGACGATGGAGCCTAAGGGTTTGCATACATTCAGGGCTTTTGTCCCTTCCTGCTAGACTGCTTTTCAGAAAGACTGAACAAATTCATAGAACCATCAACAATGTAGCTGTTTCTCCACAGTGCTGCCCAATTTAGGTTTTATCACTGTTTATGTATTTTTCTGGCTTAATAAGCATGTGGTACCTTATAGCCAATTACTTTTCCTTTCACTGATAGCAAGATTTTGTATTTTTCTATGTGATGACTTTCTCCTATGTAAACAACTGATTTCTCTTCAAAAGGAATTTCAGCCAACTACACCTCAAAAAAAATTTTTTTTAAGTACATTCAAGCAGCACTATTTATGACAATGAAAAACCAGTCAGTTTGATAATAGCCAAAACCATAACCAGCTGTGTGAATCTGTCAATAAAGGAAATGAGTATATGAAATAATATGGGGGTAAGTGTCATACTACATTGTCTACCTCAGTGGCCACAACTATAAAAATATGTATGACAAGGGGCTGGCCCGGTGGTGTAGTGGTTAAATTCGTGTCCTCCACTTCGGCGGCTTGGGGTTCGCAGGTTCAGATCCCGGGTGCGGACCTACGCACCGCTCGTCAAGCCATGCTGTGGCAGGTGTCCCACATACAAAGTAGAGGAGGATGGGCACGGATGTTAGCCCAGGGCCAATCTTCCTCAGCAAAAAGAGGAGGATTGGCAACAGATGTTAGCTCAGAACCAGTCTTCCTCACCAAAAAAAAATACATATATATATGTATGACAAGGACTGGGTAGTAATTTAGAGTGACACGAATAACTAGTTTCTTTTTTCATCCTGAAAGTTTCCTATTTTGTTTTGTTTTAAGAGGAAACTCTTCTTATTATTGTATACCTAGAAACGTTCCATTAAAGCCACAATCTAAGCCGGCAGCTTCTTAGGAGGTACCATCAAAATACCTCCCTTACCTGCTTGACAATGACTAAAATTCCTTTACAAAGAAGACTTTCATGAAAGGCTTAAGTATACGGCCCTTTGGAATAAGACTCACGCTACCATAAACTCTCAGGCTAAGGCATAAATAATTGATCTAGGATCCATTTCTGAGAGCAGGTTTGGATAAGGAGCAGAATTAAGACACCAGAAGAAATGAGATAAGGAAATGGATAAAAAGGTAAAAAGGGAAGTCGGGGCACTGCCGATAAACCTGGGAAACCTCCCAAATTTTCTGAAAAGGGGCTCCATCCTCACGATGGAAAGGAGTGGAAAGGATGGCCCAGACAAAGAATCCTTGTCTTCCCTGCCTGCTGTCCAGGGCACTGCCCCATGGGAGCAGGTGATGATTCATCCTGGCCTCAACAAGGAAGCAGAGCATTCCCAGGCTAGGGGAAAATGGTCACGTCTCTTGTCATTTCTTTATTCAAAAGGGGAAAAAACAACCCAGGTTACTAGGGTCCCAAATGAACCTGCATACTGATTTGCAGGTAGAGCAAGGGATGTGAGGTCTTGCAGTTTTCTTAAGAAGTTGCTGTTTCCCTGAAGTACATCTGTTCTCATTTGCTCTCTTCTTGGCTCCTCCTCTTGGCCCACCCCCACCAGCCCAGATCTCTGATCTGGGGAAGGGGTGAAGTACAGCAGAAGCCAAGAGGAGCTGAATTGTGGCATTCTGGGGGAACTGGCAAGGGGGGCCTCAAGCTTCCTGCAAAAGGAGATGTCTATTCTGCAAGGTGTTGATGAGGAAAGTCAATGAAAGGGTGCCCTGTGGGCAGGGAGCAGTGCCCAGTACCAGCTCCAGCCTCTAGAACATCCCTGGCTGTCTCACAGCTGTACTGCAGGGAATTAGGGGAGACAGTGTGGGTGGATCAGCCATATCCATTCCCCCTGCAGGAGACTTAAGCACATAGCCTAAGATCACCTTTAGACGACAGCACAAATAAGACCACCAGGCTACACTTATGCTAGCCCAGCTGGGAGTAAGAAGCTGGGATTCTGCAAGGTCCTACCTAACGCACATCCTTAGTCCAAGACGGGTAAGATGCCCGCCCATCCCTAGCTCCTGGGACCTCCCAGCTCTACCACAAAAGATACTGAGTTGAAGGGCTGGCAGGATTCTGAAGGTCTAGTCCTCTCTGCATTGGGCCTGAGGGTCTGGTTTAGACCTAGAAGCCCTCTTTGAGATTAATTCAATCCCCTCAGCTGAGCCCTGCCACTCTCCTCCAACTGCACCCTGACCCATCCCAGTCTAGGTCTGTAATGACTGAAACCAGAGCTACGGTTCTAGGGACAAGGAGTGCAGGATAGCCCTAGGAGCTGACCAGAAGTACAGGCTGTGGCCAGAGGCTGCGCAGCGGACAGCAGGACAACAAGACCCCAAAGCCACCTAGACCCCAGGGATTCACACTGGCTCCCCAGGGGGACCACGGGAAGGGACACAGGTGGGGCAATGCCACATGGGAGCAATGGCCTCGTACCAGTTGCCTCTGCAGAGGAGTCGGGGTTGTCTGGCCCGGCTTCACCAGCAGGCTCACTGGCTTTGGCAGGGCCTCTGCTCTGGGACCCCTTGGTGGCCACACCCTCCAGTCCTTTGCCCTCCTCCTCAGCGGGGAACTGGGCATCCACTCCAACCTCCAGCACCCGGATGGTCTCATGGCCCGACATCACGATGACCTGCAAACAGAGGACAGGGGACACTGCTGGGGGGAGGGGCCGATACAGCCCCTGGGAGCCAGCGCTCTGGGTACGGTTTGGGGAGAGAGGAGAGGGCACTTCAGGATGCAGACCTCCCGTCCTGAGGACTGTGTGCTCTGTGAGAATTCTAGAGCCTGGAGCAGGCTGCAGCTCCCTAATTCCAGGGAAGGAGCTGCTAGGAGAAAGTTGGCCCTGGTGACAGGGGGAAGGGCCTGACACAAGCTAGAAAAAGTCCCACAGAGCCAAACCACTTGGGGAAATTTCTATTTGCTCCCTCTCTTGGACTCAGTTCAGGGAGTGGTAAATGGCCTGTCCCACAGCCCTGTAAGGATGTCCTCTTGGCTGCTAGGATACTGGAGTGTGACTACGAGGGCCACTAACATAGGATCTACAGCTTAAGCCGGGCCAAGAAGCAAATCCCTCTTTATGTCCTTTGAAACCTTACAGAAGTTCCCTCAAAGATGAAAGGGTGGAAAACGAATGCTCCACAATGCTGAATAACGTTTTAAGCTCTTGATTCCTTTATTTCCAAATCTTTGGGGTAAAGGCCAAGATTTCCCTGCAAGCTAACTTCCTGAAACGAGGGTCAGGAATCCTAAAGACGGAGCCCCGCCCTCCTGGACTCAAGCCTTGTACCCCGTGGGCCCGCTGCTCCAGCTGCGCCATCTGCTCTGGGCATGCTCCGACCTCGAGGGGAGGCTCCACGCCCCCTCGGTGCAGGTGGCCCCCGGGCCTCCTCAGAACACCTGGTCTCCTTCCCCTGCTCACACAGCCAGCGCTCAGCTCTTTCCCTCCAGCACTGAAATGCTTCCAGTTGGGCCATTCAAGAATCAGGGACACTCTGTACGTTAAAAAGCCCTGTGTCAGGCCTCCCCTGCACTTGGCCTGTGCCCGAAGCCACTCCCACAACACACTCCTTGAACCTAATAATTGGATCCAGCCAGAGACTCTGCTGGAAAAAGCGACCATGTGACCCATCAGGGGAGTAGGAGTGAAATAAACCCCCAAAGCAGTTCCTTTTCTGACTCAGACTTGACATATGAGGGACTTCACTCCAATTACATTTGAAGACATGTTCATCTTTTTTTCTTCTTTTAAAAACCACGTAAGTAATAAAAGATCATCGCAAAAAATTTAGAAAATATATAAAAGCAAGAAGAAAAAATAAATTAGATAATAAATAAACAAAATAAAAGAATAAATTACCTGATATGCAAATCCTTCCCCAGGTAATCTTACACATATTTGTATATTTTAATTTCACATTTTAAAGTTACAGCTTAAATCCCCAAACTCAGTCCCTGAGAAATCCTAGCGGGCAACTGCATCTGGATGAGTGAAGTGACCATGAACTTTGGTAAACAGACAATGAGAGGCTCTGTGGAGCCTTCCTCCTTGCCCACACTCCTTGGTCCATCCCCCTCACTCCCCCGCCTCCTCCTGCCCCAGAAGGTACCTGCTCATTGACAGTCAGAGATGAGTCTGGCCCGGCTCCAGGATCCATGGTCACTTGTCAGGGTGCGATGGAGGCCAGCCCACACCTAGCACATCCTGTGAGGTGAGATGGGATGGGAAAAGCAAAGGCTGATGTGACACAGTAATACAATTTCCATACCATCTTGAAAAGTCAGAAGTAGAATGGTAAGAAGAGAGAGAAACTAAGTTATCCCAAGTATCTATAGAAGGAAACAGGATTCTAAGGACTTTGAAACTAAAGTGTCTCACTTCCTACAGCATCCCAGGAGAACCCACACTCAGGAGGAACCAGGGTGACAAGAAGAAAGAGAGGCCCAGGCCTCTGTCCTTGGGCATTCCCCAGCCCCAGTCCTGGGAGAGAGCGGACCAGCAGAACCCAAGGTGACTCTGCCCCAGATACTCAGAACCAGACACAGGTAAGGAGCACATGGGGTACCAGAGTGCTTCTCAGGGGAGGAGTCTGAGCAGACTTCCTGGGAGAGATGGTAAAGTTGGAAAGAAATTAAAACAGTCGTCACAAACTTTAATGTGCCTGATCATCACCTGGAGCACTTAAAAATGCAGACCTCCAGTTTCCCCCACACCAAGCGTCCCCAGAGAGTCTGATTCAGCAGGTGGGTCCCCCAGAATCAGCTCTCAGGTCATTCTGTGGCAGGGGCCCAAGGACCATCCTGGCCTTTGACACAGGAGGCAGGACAACATCCCAGATGATGGAACAGCCTGCCACGTGTGTGAGGAGTGAAGAAGAAATAAAGGGGACAAATAGCTTTAGACACTTATATAGAAAAGAAGGCAATTAACATTTATTTTGAGTGCCTACTGTGCTAAGCACTTTATGTAACTCTAATTCCTGTATTACTCACGCCAGCTGGGGGATGGGGGCTTTATCATCACCATGTTACAGATGAGGACGCTACGCTCAGAAAAGTGTTCTGGCTTCCTCATCTTTCTCTTCCTCCTCCTCTTCTACACCTGGGTTGGTTGGTTTCCCTTTTTTTGTTATTTTATTGATTGAGGTAAAATTCACATAACATAAAATTCACCATTTTAACCATTTTAAAACATACAATTCAGTGGAATTTAGTATATTCACAGTGTTGTGCAACCATCACCACTATTTAGTTCCAGAACATTTTCACCACCCCAAAAGGAAATCCCATACCCCTTAGCAGCTATTCCTTTTCCCTGCCACCCTCAGCCCCTGGCAACCACTAATCTGTTTTCTCTCTATGGATTTGCCTATTCTTGATATTTCATATAAATGGAATCATACAATATGTGGTCTTGTGTGCCTGGCTTCTTTTACTTAGCAGAACGTTTTCAAGGTGCATCCATGTTGTAGCATGTATCAATACTTCATTCCCTGTTTTAACTGGATAATATTCCAGTGTATGGGCTCTGTCCTCTCTCTGGGGATGGCAGAGGGAGAGGTGAACCAAGATTTCATTTCCTAGATGGAAAGCCCATCAGGCTCAGCTGTGACTTTACCCAGCACTCCACAGGCTTGTGCCAATCCACCACCTCCCCATCAACTTAGTTCAAGAAGGGCTGGCCTGGTGGCACAAGCAGTTAAGTGCACACGCTCTGCTGCGGCGGCCCGGGGTTCGCCGGTTCCAATCTTGGGGGCGCACCGACGCAGTGCTTGGCAAAGCCATGCTGTGGTGGCGTCCCATTAAAGTAGAGGAAGATGGGCATGGATGTTAGCCCAGAGCCAGTCTTCCTCAGCAAAAAGAGGAGGATTGGCAGATGTTAGCTCAGGGCCAATGTTCCTCACACACACAAAATAATAATAAATAAATAAATAAATAAATAAAATTAGTTCAAGAAAACAACTCATGAGAGCCAGCCCTGACCCCCTAGTGGTTAAAGTTCGGCGCTCACTGCTTCGGCTGCCCGGGTTCGCTTCCCAGTTGCGGAACCACACCACTCATCTGTCAGTTGCCATGTGTGGCAGCTGCTCACATAGAATAACTAGAACAACTTACAACTAAGATATACAACCATGCACTGGGGGCTTTGGGAAGGGGGAAAAAAACAGCCCATGAATGCAACACTTAGAGAACAATTAAAGAAAACAAGATCTTCATTTAATTCGTGTTACAGCATGGTAAAACGTCTTAAAGTAGAGAATGAAGAAAACAATCAGAACTTTTCAGAGAAACCAACACCTTCAACAGAAGAAAACTATTTGGAATTTCAAGAAAATTGTAAACACATCGACAGTGAATTTGAAGAAAGTACATATTGAAAAATACATTCAAGAATATCAATGCCTGTGAATCTAAATCACTTGATACAGGGTCATACAGTGATGATCTCCCAAATGATTTTGTGAATGAGAATCTTCCCAAACAAGGATTAAATGAAGAAAAAGCAAAATTGGTGAAGCAGTTTCAGGAGAAAGAAGACTTTCTTCAGAGGCTAAAACTAGAAAATGCATAGATCAAAGAAGGACCTGTGTCAGTTACAGTTGTTAATAAAGAAGTGGAGAAGATCTTATGAGTTGCAGTCAGCTATGCCTGAGCAGAACAAGAAACTGAGCCTTACTCAGTTGATAGGCCACTATGGGTTAAATGATAAATTGCTACACTATAACAGCAATGAAAAAGAATTTACAGGAGTTTAATTCATAATTTTTTCTCCAAAATATCTTTGAGAATGACAATGTAATAAAAAGATATTTGTACATTTTAAAGAGAAGAGATAAATCACTAGGACTTAGAGAAAGATATCCTGATGAACATCAATTTAGGGCACTCTGTTATATAAATATAAACCAATTTCTAAAATGAAAATTTAGTATTTTGGATAAATTTGCCAAAGAAAACAATATCTACAGAAATATGAAAAAAAATTTAAATAATGATTAAAAAATAATTTGGACAATTCTGGAAGTCAGTTTTAATACATTGTTTGTTTTTTGTGGTAAAAAGTTTTATTTTAAATGTTAAAAAATAGTCTAACTTGGTGAATGTCTAAATCTAAACTGGTCTAAAAATGCCTGCCTCTCTCCTAATTTTATGACCCCTGTTTCCATCCATTTACCGTATATTTCCATCTGGATGGTCTAGCAGGTAATTAAAATCACATGTCCAAAAAACAGTTCCATTGTATGGATATACCACATTTTGTTTATCCATTCATCAGCTGATGGATGTTTGGGTTGTTTCTACCTTTTGGCTATTGTGAACAGTGCTGCTATGAATCTTTGTGTACAAGTTTTTGTTTGAACACCTGTTTTCAATTCTTTGGGGTATTTACCTAGTAGTGCAATTAACTGACTCACCCCATGAGTTTTAGGGTCTTCACCCCTTGAGAGAATGTTCCCTGCCAACAGGGAAGGCAAGGAGAGCAACAGGCAACAGGCAAGGAGAACCACGAGGTTCCTTCCCTCTCTTTCCTTCCCTAACCTCTTAGAGTGGGGATGAAGGGAAGGGCAAGCAATTCAAGACACCCAGCAATTTGAAAAAAGAATAAATGAGTCTTCCCTTTTCAGGTAGGACAAGGCAGTGCAAGAGGGGCAGAGGAATTTGCAGGAAGAGCTGGTGTGCATCTGCCCACCTCACTGGGATTCTAGCCTCATTCCCAGGTGATGGCCTCCTCCAGATGTTGTACATGGGAGCCTTCCATGAGTTTTGCAGAGAATTTGGCAATTTACCACCACTTCTATATGGGAACTGGGATGAGCCATGGAAGTTGTTACACGTAGAAGCCAATTAGCAAGTCATGTGCAAATTCAAATGAAAGGCAGAGTCAAAACTGAGATGAAAGGTGTGCAAGATGAATTTGGGTCCCTTATAAGCTTGATACATACATTTCAGGGGGAGAAGAATTTTCCAATTCCAAAAGCCTTTAGACAGGAGGCATCAGTAGCCAGTCATTGTGGGGCAAGGGAGCATCTGCTTGAGAGGGACTCAAAGTCTGCTCACAGTCTTGTTGTAGGCACTGATTCCTTGCTGCCAACCAGGGCCATTCACTGGGAGTAGTTAAGTAAGGGTCCACATTCTGGCTGTGTTATTAGGGGGATTCAAGCAGTAGATAAGGCTCGAGTGATTTTAACATCTCTTCCACCCTTGAGATTCTATGAGCTTATTCAGACCTGGGTCCTCAGTATCCAGTCCTTTGTGTCAAGGACAAGGTCAGTCCTGGCTCAGAGCCTCTGGCCACATGCAGGCCCATTCTAACCCACCACCCAGGCTTCGGCCCACCAGAAATGCAGGCGGAACAGAGGCACAGGCCTCCCTTGTCCCAGACCCCACACCTTACTCGTCTCCCCTAGTCTTGCCTTTAGATGGCTCCTATCAGAGACATGTGATAGCATATGTGATATAAACACCTCTCTAAGAAGTAGACACTCAGCATTTTGACTCTGATCTATGTCCTGTGTGTTCCCCTTACTTAGTGTCTGTGCAGACTTTCCCCTGGACCTGTTCCCATCCCCTTGCCAGGAACTTTTCACAGTTTTTCAAGCCTTAGGCTGTGGCTTGGGCTCACTGACGGGACAGCCATCTTTAGTTTGCTTTTTGCCCATTTCCCCAATGACTGGGGAAATAGCACATCTGGATGGCCTCCTTTGAGCTCATGATGCCATGCAGTGTCCACAGCCTGATGGCCAATGATGAGAGACAATCAGCTGTCTGTTTTAAGAGAAGGGGCTCCTGTGATCACCCCAGCAGTAGAACTCCAGTAATACACAGATCACAGCAGAGCTGCTCTGGTTAAGCTGGGATGGGAGCCAGAGCCTCCTCCTTTGCCTTCTTTCTCCAGTGAGTTGAGTTTGAAAAACATCTGAATCAAACCTGGCAAGGCACCTTGGTTGGCTAACAGATGGCTCACTTATCCCTGGCTTTCCTCTGCCAACATCTAAAAACACAGGCAACCTCAGGGGAGAACGAACTGTGGGTGCTGAGGCCTTTGCCCACGACCCAAAAATCCAGAGTCCAGGACCATCTAGGACTTTCAGTGGAGGGGACTGAGTTAGAGGACGTGCTTCTGTTTATCATTCTCCTTTGGGGACTGCTTTGGGCTGAGGGCAACATTCCAAGAAACCCAGGAGGAGCATTGGGAAATCTTAA